AAAAAAAAAGAAAGCACTTATTTCTGTAACGTCTTTTTACTCCAAGCCTACTGATTCAAATGTCTGACATCACAGAACACTTAGAAGATCTGAAAGTTCAATTATCGCGTGCATAAAAATTCAATAGTGTTTTTTACATTTCTCTTTTTGAAGGATTATATTTCTATACCACAAAGTAATCCGGATCTCGACTATATACAAACAACAGAGTGTTTAAATGGATATTCGCCGAGGAACAATCATTTATTAGATTATTCAGATGATCGTAGTCGTTATGGCCATCCGTATGGCAACTTTACCATTAACACAAATGTTGGAGGAGATCGCATTGCTGAAATGTACGGGTATAATAATATAAATCTTGAGGTTAGTTCCAGAACAATTTTTGATTTATTCATGTTCATTTATCTAATGGTGTTTAAACTACTGTGTCTAAAACCGGATTTTAAACCTTAAAATAAATCCACTGTTATTTTACTTTTTTCTTGCAAAGACATTGCCAGTATGCCTGAGAGGTTAAAATACAAGTTTTATACATTGAAAGGCATTATAGTTGTAACAGTTTTAGAGATTTTACCTGAATTTTCTGTTCTATATTTTTGATATTAGCTGAGACAATATGGTCAGTTCGCTTGATATGTTTAGAAATGAAACCTTCTTTCCTTAGTTGAATCATTTTTTTTTTCTGCGCTTATAACAGTGCTTTGTTTCTAAGCACTTAGAGTCTAGTTGAAATTATGAACAAAAAAGTTGTTTGTGCAGGCTGAAGTGTGTTAAAGTCTGCTGTTTCAGAATTCACCATTAGAGCAGGTGACAAAAGTTGCAACTCCAGATATTGTAGCTGCACCCGGCTTGATGGTTAACGGGACATCAATTATTGAACGACCAGTTAGTAGGCTATCAACTCACGTATAAACTAGGTTATTCTTTTAGTATTATTTCAATCTTTTTTTCCTACTAGTCTATCAATTAATGGTGTTTGTAGTTGGTTTGCTGATTTCGTTTGACAGAAAACAACACAACAATTACCCGCAATGATTTTTTGTGTTAAAGCTTATTTGACTGTTTCGAAAAAAAAAGCAATTCTTTTTCTGTCATTATTAAAGACAAATAAAGCATAATAATTTGATAGTTATTGGTTTTGTTGCAGAAAAGACGGGTTAATTAATTCACTCTTCGATGCTTTATAAAGACGACAATCTGTCAGCGATAAAATG